CACCACTTGGCGGAGTAAACATAGAAAAGGTAATCCTTGAACCCATCGTTGGGTCGGATACAAGGACGAATCACTTTCACATAGTCATACGCTTTTGTGAATGACATGTCTTTGTGTTTCATCAGATAAGCGATAACGATAGTTGCACTTCTGGAGACTCCAGCATTGCAATGACACACTACAGTACTCTTGTTTATGACACAGTTGTGGATGAACTCGACACAATCGGAAATTGCAGCGGAGATGTCGAAAGAGGGGAGGTCGAGAATTTCACAGTTTTTGTAGTTAAATTGAGTCGGGTACAGACGTGGGATTTGTGGTGCAACACACAAAATGTTTTTGACATTAAGAGAGTGCAGATACACATCACTTGCGACACAGTCTTGCGAGCCCAAATACACATAATCGACAATTTTGTACGCGATGCTATCTGGCGAGGTGTCTACAACAAACCCTTCGGACTTTTTTGATACCATTTTCATGACGCCGTTCTGTTCTTTTAAAATTTGTCCATCGAGCGATGCCACTATTGTTTCAGTTGGACGAAGTTTTACCTTTTGAGTCAACAACACAGAGACGTCCATGTTATATAGTTCTTTATTCACAACGTGTTGCTGTGCCATTCGATATACCAAAACAATACAAAATAATTTAATAGGTCATTCGAAATATACTGATTGATAAAAATATGGCGACTTAAAAATAAGAGGCAAACCATTTTTTATTTAAAGTTTCAAATTATATATAATAATAATAATTTAAAAATAATATTAAATTATAGAATCGTTAAACGTTATCTTGTGGACATAAAATAGCTATAATTTTGTCTAAACACCGGGCATTAGGTAAAACGTGAAAAAACAAGAAACAATTGTGATGAAAGTTTGGGACGGCTTCCCGAAATATTCCAATCTTTATGGTCCAAAAGGTACCAGATATAGTTAGAGACTAGATAACGTTAAAAGACAGACAGAATAACAAATATTAAAAAAAGAAACGAGTTAAAGTTATTATAAATAGATATGAAATATAGGTGAACGTTGTCGTAAAGAATAGAAGAAGAAAACAACATGAATAAATGGATTAAACTACAAAGTGTTAGAAAGCGGTGTTAAAAAAGCTTTCATCGTGGGCAACGGGGTTGTTAGACCTTGAAATAAATACTGCATCCTCTTCGTCGAAGTCACGCGAAAGTGGTTTGTTTTTAAATATCTCGCCGACTTCGCTGTCAGCAAGTAGTGTCGACACACTTGCTTGTGAGCAGTCGCTGGATGTCATTTCGCTCTTAGCACAATAGAAGTATCAATGTGAATAAAGCGTGTTTTTAGTGTAAAATATGCGAACAAACAGTAATGATTCGTCAAATTGGCGCACTTCAGGACTGATCCCAAGTGGAGTAGCAGTATCGTTGGAGATCGAATGCACTGTTATCTTGTTCATCGTCTACACTTTGAAGATACAACCAACCCTCCTCTTATTTATATACCAATCAAATCTTTTTCAAAAAATCATTGGTTGATTTTTTTAAAAGTCGTCATGTTTATTACAAAAGACTCTGTCGGTCTTGAGATGGTTAAGTTAATTCACGTTTGTCTTTTCATATCTTTTTCTTTTTTTGTCAATCCATTCGAATGGTTTCAATCTATTATATTATTAAATTGTATCTTCATAATAGAAAAAAAATAAAAAACTGTTGTGTTCATTTTAAAACGAGTTTTTGAGCAGCTTCCATTCTTTTCGATTTTTTTCCATAAAGATATTATTATTTTTTCTAAAACGAACCAATTCATGATTTTATTAACTCGTAACTATTTACCAAAACTATGGGAAAATGAAAAATATAAACATTTTTTTAATATTTTTTCATAATTTAAAATACGACCTTTTAATTGTTGCGTAATAAATTAAGAAAAAAAAATAACGTTTTTTAAATTATTTAAAAGAAGTAAAAATGTTATATAATATTATAATAAATGATATCTTAAAAAAGATCGCAATTTTAACTTTTTTATACCAATTTTTAATTCTTTTTTTTGTCTTTTCAAAACTAAAAATCGTTCGTTATGATAATTTTTATTACATTTAAATTATTAAAATAATTGTTTATTATTTCAAAACCATAGTGTAAACATTTGACAGCTAAAATTCCCACAAAAAAACAATATAAACCAGTTATTCTTTTCAATCCTTGAAACTAAATAACAATAATAATTAAATAATAATTAAAAAGACCATTTTCAGTGAAAAACATAACACACACTTCCGTTCAAAATAATATTTTAGTAAATTGGTGAATTGGCATTCTCTGTATAGTGTACAATTTTATTCGAAAAGATCTGTTAATAATTCACACAAACGAAAAATTGCTTAAATGTTACGAATAAATGTCCAAACCCTGAGTCTTTTACAATGAAAGATGCTTTTG